GCTGATGGTGACCGACTTCTGGGTGTGAAACACGTGGCGCAAGCCCCTAGGGCTTGTGTGGCTTCGACAAGACTATGGCGCGGGGTTGATTCAAGGTGATGTACACACGGAGCTTGAAGTCGACGGGGCACGTTGGTGGACTGATTATCTACCTTGGAGTCATGTTGAAGGTGGAGCTGGAGTTAGAGAACTTCACTTGGCGCTGATTGAGGGGCTACGGCGTAAGAGCTCAGAGAGTCGAAGCCTATTCAGCGGGAAAAGCGAGTGACACGTAATTCGGACTGGAGCCCAGTGGTCTGATGGAAGCGTGAAACTTGTCATCGATCGGTGATAATCGGTGGTACTCTGCAGTGGGGGTTGAGTGGTGTGGTTTCGCGACCCTTGAGACTCGATCGGGACAGCGGAGACTCGACGCGGTAATAGCGGCGAGGCGTGCGGTGTGCACGGGACATGGAGACGGGCCAGGGCTCTGGTAGTCATACATGTGGTGAGACAACTGTGAATTTGACTCGGGATGACTACAAGCAATGGTGAAATTCCTTCAAGTTTCAGACAGGCGGTTAAGAAAGGAGCGGTGATGTTGAGTTCAGGTAACTCTTATGTGTGACACCCAATATGTGAGTTGTTCATTTTCACGCAGGTCAATGATCAGTGTGTGATTGTGTTGGACGGATACTCTGGAAGTTGGGAGCACAAACTAGAGTAACAAGGAACTTAATTTTGCTCGAGTGTTGACTGTGGTCAAGAAAAGGAGGGACTACAAGATGCAGGTGAAGTCATATGGAGTCTTTGGAGTAGCAGCGGTTCTCATGGGATAAGCTCAAGTCCAATGTACATGGAAGTTTGACGCATTGACGAATTCAAGGTGGTGGAGAATATTCGCCAAGGTGGAGTTTGTTAGAGTTGTGTCGAATATTGTGTACAAGTTAGGTTACAGTTGGACTCTGAGTTGTATTGTGTTTAGATAGGATATGGAGTCGTGTCCAAGTAGGACACTTGTATCTTAGGCCTCTCATATATAGCAGGGGTAGACACACGATGTAACCTATGCCAACATAATAGCACAGGCGCGCAAGGGGGAGCCGGCGGCATGTGCCGGTGCCCGGGTGGCCGGTGTGCGGTATTGTGACGGTGTCACGGGGAGGAGCGCCCGTAGTCAAGCCCCGGGGATGTTTCCATATCGGTGAACCTCGTTAACAAATCTCGGTGTCGTGCTCGTGTGATTGCTTGGTCCTTGGATGATCAACGGTATGCCTCGGATTTATTCTAACACAACCCACACGTGTTTCTTTTAACAAGGGAAAGGCGCACAAAGCACCATCATACTTCAGCTCAAAGACATTGTACCTGAAGAAAGGCATGTTGAGAGGCTATTACAGGGCACTGACTAATTCCTATGAGCTGAATTGGTGCAACTCTGGACAGGAATACTTGAGGATCGGTTGAGTTGTGAGCTATAGAATTGGGGCCTGTAGCAATGTGATGGACTTGAGGATTAGAGCAACTCCAATAGCTCCTGTAAAAAAAGAACTCCCCGTAAAAGTCGTTTTATGGGATGACCGTATGATTTAGAGGAGGTTGTCTAACACGTACTTTCTCAGTTTCCGTAAAACTTGTTCTCCTAAAATCTTTTCTTCTATTTCCCATTACTAGTAAATATGCACGTGCAACGCACGTCTATTTGGACTAATAAGTATGCACGTGCAATACGCGTCTATTTGGATTAACACATTATACTATACTTAATACAAGACAATTTATTCATAAATTTGAAATTTCCCTATAAAGTACACAATCTCTTATTCCCAACTCATACAAATAATTTGAAATATCGTTTCTCCTTAATCAACATATCTCTTGTATTAAAAGACCACCCACTTTTTCCAATGTATAAAACTCAAAATTATTTAGAAGATTCATCATGATTCTCCATATGCACACATTTATGCAAGTATAATCACACATGAAAATGTCACTTAGGACAAGCTAAGGAACCGTTTCAGTGCCAACAAACTCCAGTCAAGAATTATTGTTACAATTGAGTGTCAACCACACAATAGTAGGAAGAGACCTCTATGGTTTGTTGAAAAGAGGAAGCCATTGTCACATAGAGAAGTGTAGAGATGTCTTGACTTCATAGAATCAGCTGTGAAACAAGACAAAAAAATGCTAGTTGGACCATCCGATTCTACTATTACACCACAAGTGTTGTAATGTCTGAAAGCAAGAAAAGTGACTTACTTTATTATGAAAATAGAACATGTCAACCAAATAAAAATTACATTGATAAATTGCGTAATTATACTTGTTAATCACTGGACAAAAGCATTAATATGACAACTTGGAACAGTTACTTGAGTACTACACATTTCTTTAAGGGCTCAACATTCTAAAATTTTGACAATATAACAAATATCCTCTAAGTTCGTAGTAATAATGATACGTAGGCTACCACTTGTAAGAATAACAGTGGCAAAAAAGGGCCAACAAATGCCGGTTTAGAAAGAAAAAACTGCAGATATGCTTCCAATTTTAGCAACTCTAGTGGATAAAACATACCTTGCCTCCCAAGTCAGGAAAATAGTCAAATGAAAAAATGTACTTCTTATAAGTAGTAGAGATGAAGTCATAAGGATCATGATTCAAGATATTCGGAGAAACATGGTTGGTCTCTCTGTATGATGCGAAGTTGTTGCAGTCAGTAGAAGAGTGACCTGCCCTCCAGGCAGAAGACGAAGGCGGCGACGGCACGTGTGCGTGTTCGGAGGAAGCCGTAGCTCCTCTTCGCATGTCTCCCGTTATGGCTCGCGTGGGTGGTGGGCTGGTGACGACAGGCGACTCGCGATCGCGATTCCCTGATAGGAGACGATAGGATGCGCTCGCGATTAGTTTCCTAATAATTAGATGTGTTCGTGATTAGTTATCTAATAGGATGCGTCCATGATTAGTTTCCTAATAATTAGATGTGTTCGTGATTAATTTTCTAATAGGATGCGCTCGTGATTATTTTCCTAATAATAGGATGCACCCGTGATTAGTTTCCTAATAATAGGATGCGTTTGTGATTAGTTTCCTAATAATTAGATGCGTCTGTAATTAGTTTCTTAATAGGATGTGTGCGTGATTATAGTTTCCTAATTGACCAGGCGTGGACTTCATATTTTCCTTCACGGTGGAGTACGGTCAGTCAATGTAAATTGCTAAGTGCACACAGAGAACATATTAGGTTAAGGCTAGCCGTTAGATTAAGTTTAGTGGGACTAATCATGCGGTGGTAATGTATCCGTGTACGTTTTGTGGGGTGCACTTAAAAAAGATTATGTTTGCTCTTTTATAAGTAGTATAGAAACTAAGCCGAGGCCTGCAAGTAGGTGACACGGCAGGGGAGGTGCAATGGCGGCGGCGGCGCGTCCTTGCGCGGCAGGGGATGAAGCGGTGCTGCACGGCACAGCAGCAAAGGCGGCACGACCTGGCGGCCAGCCTCGCAGCAGATACTGGCTTGTGTAATACAATATACTGTTCATGCCTGACATAAATGAGATAAGGACATGCCTGGCATAAAAATACAATATAAACATCTACAAAACCTGAAAAACGCAAGACAATTGCAGTCCGGAGGCAAGATTTTACGAAAAAACAGTTCACAGGGATCACACCAATGAGACAACTCGCTTTGGTCATAATGTTGCTGATCAAATCTGGTAGGTCGATCATAAACGCAACCAGCACTTCATACAAGAAATGAGATGAGGAGCGGTCATCTGTAATGTGGCAAAAGGTGTATATTCTCCACAAAACTGTGATTTCAATATCTACAGCTGACAGGTCAAATTGCTTATGTTCAAAATTTCAGGAGAAAATGGAAGAGAGAGCAACCTCTGCTACTAAGAAAGAAGCCGAACTCAACTCAAGCATAAGAACCAGATCGGTTTAACAAAAAAAAATTAACAATAGCATACTGAAGAAACAGAACTATGATAAGAACCAAACTGCACGACAACACAAGTATCCCTGATACGAAAACATCTCCACACAACAAAGACCGGGACGAACCAGGCGCCACAAGAAATTCTACTTCAGAGTTAAACCAAATTGCATACAGAGCAGCGAATATCAAACTACTAACATGAGCAAAGATCCAAGCTAACCATTCAATGACCAAGAGTCCCTCGACTAACTCCTATTAGCAGAGGGCATATCTCTCTCAGGGCTTGTTTGGGACTGCTCTGATTCGTCAAAATCTGTTTCGTTCCACTAAATTTACTTTGGAGCAGTTTCAAGCTGAAGTTGTAGCACTACCAAAGAGAATGTTTAGCTTCCATCTAGCTCCAGCTTCAAGAATGGGAAATTTGGTGGAAAAGATCTATTTGATTGGTTGAGGGCGAAGAAACAAAGGGGTATCCACTTACTGGTGCCAGTGATGGGTAATTTTCACCCAACTCCAGCTTCTAGAGTTTTTTGGAGCAGCCCCCGAGGAGCTTCATAAAAAACTAGGAGTTGCACCCCAGATTCTAGTTTTTTACGGAGCGGCATATCGTGGAGCTATCCCTGTTTGGCTTATGTTTTCCGGAGCAGAGTTGAATTTTAAGAAGCAGAGCAGTCCCAAACAGACCCTCACTGTCTTACAAAAGTATCCACTAAAAGAAATTGACTAAGACTGCATCTCTCATGTTTTCTCAGAAAACATGCTAGATGGCCTACCAATGCTTCACTAATTCTCTAGTAGCACGAATAATTAGCATTTCAAATTGCAGTCAGTGCCATTCACACTACTTAACAATGAGAAGTGGAAGTAAACGGGGAACAAGTAGCACAGATGTATAGCATAGCTACTCCAACAAAAGGCACCAGATGGTAGTAAAAGTGCGAGCACAGCCATATAAGTTGTTCAGTTCTACTAGTATTATAAAGTAAGAACTAGGACCATATGCTCCTAAAGGATGGACAATCCAAAGGCATTAGTACATGGCAAACTAGAAGTACAAACCACTTTTAAAGCCCTAGAAGAATGAAGGCTCCTTATCCAAACCACCTTCTTGCATCTCGCTGTACGGAAGTGGAATCATGCTCTCCTGAAAGTACTGATTAGTGAAGTAAACAGAATATGTTCCCCCTTTAATTTCGTAATATCCCAAAAACTTTCCGTCAATGTCACAGTGCAAAAGATAGTCAGGACCGTCCAATGGATTGTGACAACAGATCAGCAGCTCACGCTGGTTAAGCAGTGACATCTTAGAAATATACTCAAACTGTGGTGATGTCTTCATCGCTAACAAGTTAATCCGGTACTTCAAGGCCCAGGCCTCAGCCTCGTAGTCTTGCATCATCCAAATCTCTATGCTGGCATCATTGGTGCTGCACGAAGCAAGCTTGTCGTCCATCTCCCACAATGACACCTGACGGCCCAACTGGCCAGAACTGCGCATCCACCGGAACTTCTCAGTTACAGTGTCGAACACCATAATGTCCATGGGAGTCTCCATGTCAATTCCTGTTAACCAGTGCAGGCTGCCGCGGTGGTTGACTTGTGAACTATAGCAGGAATCAAAAGCCCCTTCGCGCATACATTTCGACAAACGCGATGACACTGACGGCCGTTTGATCATTCTCGGCTTGTCAGATCCTGCCGAGAGAATGTAGCCACGTTCATGGCCATGCGAGAACCAGAGCACCCGGTATTCTCCAGATGGATGGTGCCGGTAAAAGCCAGCTATGTAGATGCAGGACCCCCCTGCCGATGGAACTCGAGGTTGTGGTAGGGGAGCACATCTGCGAGTGGCTGGATTGCAGATCCAGAAATGGGATGCATCGGACAAGATGAGAAAGCCATCACAGGCCCCCAGGAGATTATGGAACTTAGAGTGTTGAATGATTGGCCAGAGCTTTTGATTGGAGGCTCCGTCACTGTTGTCACGGAAGACAACGAAGGTGACTCCTTCCTGCCCAGGGATATCCTGGTTGATAACAGGGAGCGACGGCTGGCGTAGGCAGTTGCCGAGCATGAACTTGTCGGTGGAGGTGGCACTGCACCACAACTTGCGGACAGCGCGGCAGCGAAGAACGTCCTTTGGTGGCAACCGGATGAGGATCTCTTCGATGATAATCCACTCGGGGAGGTCGTCGAGGATGGTCCCACGGCTTCTTTTCGTCATGGTGATTGACTGCCGACGGTATTCCATCAGATCTAAAGGAAAGAAAAAAGAGATGGGGATGATTGAGCTTATCCATACCCCTAAATTCAACTTGGCAAACACAGAACAGTAGTATCTGGCACATGTCAAAGAGATAATGTGTGATCCCATAGATTCAAACGGTCTACGGCCGAGTACTACTATGAAGAATCTACTGTATAAGAAAGCAGCCAGGCATGAGACATAAATCAAAACTGTAAATTAGCTAGAGTTCTGCAATTGTCGTCCGAATCCTACATAATAAGCAGAAAATCATGTAGCAGATATGCCAGCAGTTCTCCCATTACGTGATGCAATCACAACAACAGTTCATATGTTTCATATGCCTGTTGAAAAATTAATTACCATAAAAGGAGAGACGAACATTCGTTTATTTATTCAGCATTCTATTCAAATGTAAAATTATTTACTGCAAGAACACATCAGTAACTGAATACAAGGTTAAAGGAATGAGCAAATGCTTCATACGCTTGGTGTGATCACATCATAGTTCTAGTGACGTCAGATGATATGTCATCGACCAAAGTGTGCGTTGTAATCAAATATCCATGCATTATGCACCAATCAGGTAGCAGAACTTTCAATCCTTGTTGACTAATCTGCAATATTGTCTACATACTGCCCATGTGTTGTGATTGCATCAGGTAATGGGGGTCCCCAAACCAGGGGTCTAGGGACTAATAGTGGCTTCTTTTCTACGGTGTTGCTCATAACTGAAATCTAATATAATTGGTAAAGAAAACAAGGTGAATTTGTGGGGGTTCCCAGTGCAGTTCGTCTTACCAGTACGAGAGCAGTGGGCGCTTCCTCCCGCTCTGCCGCTGTACGCGTCGCCGTCGCGGGGAAGGACGGCGGCGACGCTCCCCGGAGCGGCGCGTACGAGGGCTCGCTCGTCGCCGGCAAATATGGGGATCGGAGGATCTTCTCGCTGCTGCGCCGGCGGGGGGAAGGAGAGTGAGGCGACGAAGGGCCAAGGGCCGGAGTGCGCTGGGGAGGCCCGTGCGAGTGGGTTGCAGGGCCCAAGTGAGTACGATGCTCCAAGCAAAATACAAAGCGTCTTCTAAAAGAAATACAAAGCGTTTCTAAAAAAGCAAAATACAAAGGATTCTCTCTCTAAAAAAACAAAATACAAAGGAGATCTCGATTTCTTTTACTGATATTGCCCAGTGTTTAATAACCATTGCATCATCCCATGAAACCATTAAAAAAGTTACAGTCTTGTGATGTCTTTGGAGCTCCAAAAACGGCTGCTACTGCCATTTCTTCAAAAAAATTCAGGGCAACTTCAACTGTGTACATCAAATCAAATCGAACACATCAAACATTTGTGAACATGTTCAGACATGTCCACGGACAGTGGAAGGGAAGTGGATCATCCAACCGTATGCATCAAATAAGCATCAAATCCAGATAGGAGGTGGGCCAGACGGGCCTAGGAGAAAAGACACATTAGCTATAATGACATGTGGTCCAACTGATAGTGGGCTCAGCGAACTGTCCAGACTCCCTCGGAGCAAGTACAATAAGATGATGTAAGTGCATGTCCAGTTTAATAGCACACAGACCCTCCTTGCCTGCTTTTTTCTTCTTAATAGTATGGAAACACTCATATGCCACTAAAATATTGTCCGTAATCATTCTTTCAGGCACAAAAGCACTCTGAGTGGGGCTAATAATATCTGATAAGATTGTCTTCAGTCGAGCAGCTATCATTTTTTATATAACCTTGTAGACCACATTACATAAACTGATCGGTCTGAACTGAGTTACCTTTTCAGGGGAATTAACCTTTGGGATCATTACAATTGCAGTATCATTCCATCCGGGGGGAATGGTACAAGTATTCACCGCCTGCAGGACCTCGTCAGTCAGGTCATCCCCCAGCATAGACCAAAACCTTTTATAAAAAATAGCATGGAGGCCGTCCGGTCCCGGTGCCTTTAAATCACCAATCTCAAAGAGAGCTTTCCGAACATCGTCAGCCGTATAGGGGGCGAGAAGAGCATTATTCATCTCATCAGTCACTTTCCTTCGAACAAGAGAAAGAACCTCCAGGCTCGGTTGGGTAACTTCAGATGAAAAAAAGTTTGAAAAATACCCCTTGATGTGGTCCTTTAAATCAGAATCTTGCAACCAAACACCTGTATCATCCAAAAGCTTTTTAATCTGATTTCTTTTCTTCCTGGCGGTAGCCGCATTGTGGAAGAACAAGGTGTTGTGGACCCCATGTAATAGCCAATTGGCTCGACCACGTTGTAGCCAGTAAATCTCTTCTTGTTCTAGAAGATTTTCAATAAGGACAAGAATCTCCTTCTGGCGCGCTTGAGAGTTCGCACTCATCGGTCCTCTCCGCAGTTTTTCCAATTCTTTTTTTAATTTGTTGATACGCCTTTTCGGACCCTTAAGACCGAGTAGAGTGGCCTTTTTAAAAAGGAAATCATGTTAAAACTCGGATTTCAAAAGGAGTGGGTGAACTTAATTATGCAATGTGTATCCACTGTGGAGTATCGGGTTCGCTTCAATGCGGAAGAAACCGAGAGCTTTAAGCCTACTAGAGGACTGAGGCAGGGAGATCCCCTATCTCCCTACTTATTCTTGTTATGTACAGAGGGTCTGACTGCCCTTTTGGCGCACGCGGAGGAAAATGGGACTATTTCTGGAGTTAAGGTGAGCAGAGATGCACCACCAATTTCCAATCTCCTCTTCGCAGATGATTCTTTGATTCTCATGCGAGCTAATGCCATGAATGCTGAGGCGTTGAAATCAATTTTGGATTCTTATTGTGCCGCTTCGGGGCAGAGGGTGAGTGTTGAAAAATCAAGTATCTTTTTTAGTCCCAATACAAAAGTTGAAGACAAGGAGCAAATTTGTACCATTCTGAATATTTTAACTGAAGCCCTAAATGACAAATATTTGGGTTTGCCTGCCAATATGGGTATGGACAAAAGTGATTGTTTTCAATTCCTGATAGACCGTATTATTATGAGAATAAGTGGTTGGAAAGAAAAATTATTATCCGCCGGAGGAAAGGAAATTCTCCTCAAATCTGTAGTACAAGCTATCCCCACTGTGGGATCGAAAGTATGTCTAGAGGGGGGTGATTAGACTACTTGACCAAATAAAAACTTAACCTTTTCCCAATTTTAGTTCTTGGCAGATTTTAGCTATTGTAGGACAAGTCAAGCAATCATCACACAATTCAAGCAAGCATGCAAAGAGTATATTGGCAGCGGAAAGTAAAGCATGCAACTTGCAAGAATGTAAAGGGAAGGTTTGGAGAATTCAAACGCAATTGGAGACACGGATGTTTTTCCCGTGGTTCGGATAGGTGGTGCTATCCTACATCCACGTTGATGGAGACTTCAACCCACGAAGGGTAACGGTCGCGCGAGTCCACGAAGGGCTCCACCCACGAAGGGTCCACGAAGTAGCAACCTTGTCTATCCCACCATGGCCATCGCCCACGAAGGACTTGCCTCACTAGCGGTAGATCTTCACGAAGTAGGCGATCTCCTTGCCCTTACAAACTCCTTGGTTCAACTCCACAATCTTGTCGGAGGCTCCCAAGTGACACCTAGCCAATCTAGGAGACACCACTCTCCAAGAAGTAACAAATGGTGTGTTGATGATGAACTCCTTGCTCTTGTGCTTCAAATGATAGTCTCCCCAACACTCAACTCTCTCTCATAGGATATGGATTTTGTGGAAAGAAGATTTGAGTGGAAAGCAACTTGGGAAAGGCTAGAGATCAAGATTCATATGGTAGGAATGGAATATCTTGGTCTCAACACATGAGTAGGTGGTTCTCTCTCAGAACATATGAGTTGGAATTGTGTATGTGTTCTGATGGCTCTCTCCACGAATGAAGAGGAGGTGGAGGGGTATATATAGCCTCCACACAAAATCCAACTGTTACACACAGTTTTCCAATCTCGGTGGGACCGAACCAACAAACTCGGTCGGACCGAAAAGGTAAACCTAGTGACCGTTAGAGATTTTCGGTGGGACTGACATGCAACTCGGTAGGACCGATATGGTTAGGGTTTTGGGCATAACGTAATCTCGGTGAGACCGATTACACAAACTCGGTGAGACCGAGTTTGGTAATAAGCTAACCAGAGAGTTGGTCAGGTAAACTCGGTGGGACCGATTTGCTCTTTCGGTGAGACCGAAAAGTTACAAAAGGAAACAGAGAGTTTACACTGCAATCTCGGTGGGACCGATTCGCTCTTTCGGTGAGACCGAAAAGTTACGAAAGGGAAACAGAGAGTTTGCAATCCCATCTCGGTGAGACCGAGATCCCTATCGGTAGAACCGAATTGCTAGGGTTTGGCAGTGGCTTATGACAAGTGAAACTCGATGGCGCCGGATAGAAAGAATCGGTAGGACCGAGTTTGGCTTAGGGTTTAGGTCATATGTGGATATGGGAAAGTAGTTGAGGGTTTTGGAGCATATCACTAAGCACATGAAGCAAGAGGCTCATTAAGCAACACCTCATCCCTCCTTGATAGTATTGGCTTTTCCTAAAGACTCAATGTGATCTTGGATCACTAAAATATAAAATGAAGAGTCTTGAGCTTTTGAGCTTGAGCCAATCCTTTGTCCTTAGCATTTTGAGGGTTCCACTTTCACATCCATGCCATGCCAATCATTGAGCTTTCCTGAAATAGTCATCTTGGAATAGCATTAGCTCAATGAGCTATATGTTGTTATGAATTACCAAAACCACCTAGGGATAGTTGCACTTTCAATCTCCCCCTTTTTGGTAATTGATGACAATATATAGATCAAAGCTTCGACAAATGATAATAAGCATGAAATATATCGTCGCTTTGAGAAGTATGTGACAAGTAAGAGCTCCCCCTAAATTTGTGCATATTTAAAATTTGCTTTGGACTGCAAATGCACAAAGAGTTAGAGTCATGGGTTACTCTTCCATGTCACATACATCTTGGTGGAGTGCTTAAAATGATAAGAATGAAATACAT